ATGACCAGAAAAACGTACGATTTGTATTGATAACGTTAAACGACTGTTAAATTGATTATCGCGACACGAATGATGATTTATATACTTGTATCGCAATCGTTTCTTAATCTCATTTTTGTATATTCATTAATAATTAATAAGTCATTGATAAATGAGCGTGTTCGAAGTATTCACGTAGCGTGAATACTGAATACCAACGTTCGAGGATACACTTTACTGACATTTTCCGTTCACCCGAATATTGCTTGTCCAAACGGCATCTCGGACCGACGTCCAACCGCGAAGGAGATCAAAATTAACTCGGCTGTGTTTGCACCACATACGCGCGTCGGTCACGTACCGGATATTAATTCGCGTCCTGTCGCTATCAATTTCCCCTATTGTTTGTCAATTATCAAATTTCTTTACCACAAGCGCCGCATCAAGTGGCGCTTGCGAAAATATTTGGCGAATCAATTAACTCATTTTGACCAAGAATTCGATCCAAAAGCGTTTTATCTTTGATAAACCGTAATTAATGCTCGATCATAATTATAAATATATATAAAATATAAATGGTAATTATATATAAATATAAATAGAAGTAATTTATATATAAATTATATATAAAAGTGGGATGGTTTTTTTTAGAATGATTATCTTCGAGATTCAGGTCTAAATACTTTGCTCCATTTTGTTCAAGAAATATTACAAGATATTATCTTCAAAATCCAGATCAATGTTCATTTCTACCAACGCGGATTAACTTTAATCTCGATTTAACTTAATTTTTATCTTTTTCTAATTGTTACAACTACAAAAAGATAAAAAGTAAATTAAACCGAAATTAAGTTAATCCGCATTGGGAGAAATAAACGTAAATATCTCGAATAAAATAAAAAATTAAGCGACCCGACTGGCTATAATTTAATATGCAACATTAAACATCATTCGTCGCTAGACGTTGTATCCTAACTACATCGTGCGAACGCCAAGAAGTTTAGTGCGTCAAAGAAATGAAAATGTAAAATTGTAAAAATTGTAAAAATGTAAAGAAAATTAAACTGTACATCTTCTCCACTATATACAATACATATAACGATCATTATGACTTTGACCATGACACGGATATAGTGAAGAAGATGTTCAGTTTAATTTTCTTTACATTTTTATAATTTTTACAATTTTACATTTTCATTTCTTTCACGCACTAAACATCTTGGCGTTCGCACGATGTAGTCAGGATATAACGTCCGGCGACGCATGATGTTTAATGTTGCGGAATTAAATTATAATATCTCACTTGAGAAGAGGACCAGATTATGGTTGAAACGTCGTGAGTATTAATAAATGAGAATTGGCCAGTCGGGTCGCTTAATTTTTGCTTTGATTTTATTTTTAATTATTTACTGGCGAAGAAACGGTTATCATTGTTTTTATAAATATCTTGCTCTATTTCGTTCAAGAAATTCACAAGATTGTCTTTAAAAGATAATTTGATTGCAGATAAAATGTAGTACAGAATATTTTGATAGCCTACCCGAATGTCCACCAAATGTCAAAGCACATCACGTTTAACCAGAAGAAGCTTGCCAAAAACGAGAAGTGAATGATGAAGGCTGAAACAGAATAAACAACTATTAATCACACATTATGGTATCGATAAAGGCTTATGTTCGCCCGTGAAGAAACAGGTTTACTCTGCCTTTCTGCATCAGGAATTTATTTAGTCGAAAACGGTAAACCTTGACGATGATATGCGCTACATTGAATTAAACATTGCGATTTAAATATTATGTCAGAATCACGTAAAATCTTCCGCAAAAAGAAAAGAGAAAAAATATATTTATCTAAATAAAGTTCCAAGTTGATTGCATATCAAAAAATAAATTTTACCCGCTTTTTATTTGATTGTATTTTTCCCAAAGTTTTAAAAAATTTTTACATTCAAATTATCAGGGGAGAGAGAAATCATGTATTATATGCTGTATTATATGTGTTCACTGTATTATTATATGCTGTACCCAATATGATGCAGGCGGCATCCGATAATGATGTCTGTGGGATTTGCTGTATTACCGCGAGGGACATGTACGCGACGAACAACGAGCCGACGTATCCGCGTAGCGTGTAGCCGTGCATGTTCTGAAGCTCCGGCAGTATGGAGTACACCACGAATGTCGTCAGTAGAAACGGCAAGGATATTATCAGACCCACATGATAGCCATCCGGGACCGGTTCCGAGGAATCGGAGGGATCAAAGCAAACAGCTATCTCGTACTTATCCCGTTGGAAGACGATGAGGCAGTATAAATCGATATCGACCTCTTTGATACGCGGTCGATACAGAGAGCCATTGAGGAGGAACATAAACGCGTCATTTGGTTCCTCGTCAGGATCAAGTACATAGCGTCCGACTTTCGGACACGGATCGTGGACGGTCAGCTGAAAGATTTGGTCCACCTCGCCGATCGGTCCTCTCTCAAGCGACTCGTTCGTCGCCTGCTCGTACACACCCGGAAAGGAATAATGCCCAACGTTCTCAGTAACGCATTGTTCCATGATCATGCGAACGCCGAGGGGGCAGCAGAGCGGAATGCAGATACTGTTCTCGCACATCTCGTACGGAACGACGTTTCTTTTATTATCATCCTGAGAGAACTTTCCAAGGTGCTGGTACAACGTTAAGTTGCTTCTGTCTTCGATCAGGTCTTGCATCAGGTTTCCACTGGGTTCGTGTGCTGTCGAGTTGATCTTGTCATCTGTAGAATTCGTACGAAGCTCCATCGACGTTTGATCGCCGCCCCCGCGATCCTTCGTGGAATGTGCGTGAAATTCATACCGCACCGAGTCATCATCCTCGTGGATACTCGTGGAGTTAAGACGGAGCTCGTACTGCACGCCGTCGTTACTCCTGGTGGAATTTTCACGAGCGTTATAACGCATAGTTTCCGCATCGCCGCTACGATTTGTCGTGGTAACATTAATATGAATCTGATATCGCACTGTGGAATTATTCCGTTCGTTGTCGCTCGTCGTCGTCGTGGAATTTTCCAGCGGCTCGGAGGAGGAAGCGATGAACAGAAGCGTGCAGCAGCAAAGCGCGAGATTTCGTCGACGCATCGTCGACCTGTGGACACGTCGAAATTCACTGACAACCGTCTTGGTTTTCTCTTCGTGCTATCGTAGTCAGATGTGTCCAGCGACCGCAACGATATCGCAAACTACGGAAACGAGAAGGAGACGCGTGATGATATCGTTGGCCGCGACAGCGACGTTTTTGTCCGAAGGACGAACCTGTTTCGCAGCAAACATACAAGTGCATGCCAGGAAGGAAAAAACGATGAAAAAGGAGGTACCTCGTTAAAGCAGGTCCTCTTTTCGGCCGGGGATGTGGGTGAACAGGACAACGGGGGCGGACCCCCTTTAGAGATGACATTTTATAGTTTGATTTCCGGAGCGTATGGTTTGGAGAGCGACGTGAACTCTCGTTTGCATTTATTTGTTTATAAGGGCTTTTAGTACTTTCTCAGGTCTAAGACGCACGAGCTTCCGGTTCGCCTCGCAGCAGCCGAGGTGAATATCACGATTGGTGTTTGAGAAAACTTTAGTTTACACTCCACCTTTCAACGTGTAGTCTGATTTAGAAAAGAATCTCTAAAAATCTAAGGGTGATCTTTGAACTTGACGTAAATTGACTATGGCTGGGTTCGTCTTGATGCTTTCAGCCGTAAGCCTCATTCTATTTTCGTTGCACTGAAAGCGTTAAGGCAAACCCAGCCATTATATCATATAAATTTCGAATTTTGAAAAGTCCTATATTAAATTAATGCAATACCTATTTTCTATGTTAGTCAAATGAAAAAAAGCAAGCAGCTACATTAAGTATAAGGCAAACGTATGAAACAAGCATAGAAGCAAGATAAAAAGAACACAATTTTTAGTACATGTAATTAGTTATACGACATATTCGTTCCTCATGCATTACTGCAGCAGAATGCTGACTTTCTCATCCGTTGAATAACACTATAAAACAATTCATATAATGTTAAACGTTAAACTGTAAATGTGACGTTATAATAATAATTTCTTTAAATGTCAATTTTGATATTTGCAGGAAAAGTAAGAGAGACATGAGATCATTTAGAAAGTTGCCACGCACTCGCGTTAAAAGCCTAGATCTCTCATTAAATCGCACGATTTCTAAAACCACGTTCCATCCGGTCTGACGCGGTCTCTAGAAGATATGCTATGCTTAATGCATATGATATACCATACAAATATATACATATAAACAATTCACAAAGGAATTATGACGATTCGGGAATCGATAACAGCGATGTCGATGCAATCAGCGATTAATTCCGCCGCCGCGATAACATATAAATCCATCTCAAGTTAGCATTAATTCTTCTTTGCGCAGTAACATGAGTTAATAGAAGTCGCATCATTCTGTAGATATACCGAATGTGATGCAGATGCCGTTTGGGATTTGTTCCTGCGGCGTCAGCTGCAGCACCCCCAGCATGCTGTACGCCAACGCTAGGCAGCCGACGTATCCGCGCAACGTCAGGCCGTGCAGATTCCTCAGGTCGGGCAGCAACCAGTAGACAACATACGTGGCGACCAGGAACGGGACGGACGCGAGCATCCCGTAGGAATATATGACCCCGCCGTTGTTCTCGTCCTCGATCGTATACTCGTCCTCGCAGTAGAACACCAGGTATTCCGGGTACTCGTAACTCCTCACCCGCGCCAAGCAGTACTGGTGATAGTCGAGGAGACGATCTTCCGACACCTCGGTCAGGGGTCGCAATACGGAGCCGTTGGACAGCAGGTACCATTCGTCGTCCTGGTACGCGTGCGGATTCAATGAATACCGTTTCGCGCCGGCACACGGATTCCATGTTACAAAATCAAAATATTCGTCGCTCGCAGTGACGTTCGTCGGCATAAGATCCGTCTCGTAGATCGCCGGCAGCCGCACCGCTTCCGTCCCGTTCATGGTGGCCTCCACGCAGTCGTCCCCCTTGAGAAAAGTGCCGACGCGACAGCATAGCGACACGCGGGGCTTCCCGGAGCCGTCACCATCGATGCCGGTCGTCTTCTAGGAGTAGAGAGCCAGAGGGAACGGAGACAAATACTTAATTGTTAAAACCCACGATCGGACGTAAGCGGAGAGGAACCAAATGCTATGGATCTTCAAATTTCCGGTTATATCATATTACGTAGTTTGAGTATATCACATTACATAGTGAATTATACGTAACAGGATTAAATATTAATACCCTCTTTTTCCTTGCCGCACCCTATTGTCAGAAAATTATTTTATTTTTAGGTCCACGCTATTGCGCGGAATTTTTCTGATGACCGATACGTTAGTCAGCATTTTGATGTTGGCTCCTTTCCGCGTGTTACATCCAATTATAGTTAATACAGAAAATTGAGTCCGGTCACTTATATGAATTAAGTCGATCACAAATGGACAAACTGCTTCAATTCATTTAGCTGGTTAATTTACGTAATTTCTGTGTTCCATAAATCTACAATTGTTCTACATAATTTCATTGTATCTAGATGTAGCTACATTTAATCAAGAATTAATTCTCAAGACGCGCAACACACACAAATTTTCCCAAAAGTCTTGTTTAATTATAAACACGCAAACATAGTTAGTGAGTCGTTTCTGATGTTATTATTATCATATTCACGAATGCTATTACGCGAGAATTCGCTATTAAGTCATCACCACGAAATAATCGCTTTGGGCATTAAATATCATTAAGTAAGCATATTATAATACGCATAATAGCAAAGCGACACGAATTCCATCGACAAATTCCAAGTATAGGTACAGTAACGTAGTGTGTGCAATCGAACTTGGAATTATCTCTACCTCCAGATAAACATGAGGGACGATAAAATTTTCCTTCCATGAATCCTCTGGCTCTTCCTCTGCCTGATCGCTTTCGAGAGCGGCAGCCGCGATCAAGATCGCGAGAAACACCGCGAACGGGGCTGTTCTCAGATGCCGTTTCATTATGTACTAATTAAACTTTAACGAGGCTGCTGCTCGAAACGGCAACTCGAAACGGAGCGAATTATCGCCACCTCTCAGCGTTATCGCCGTGCGGAAGCTTACTCACGAAAGTGCCACAAGAAATAGCGGAAGAGAGAAAAAGAGAGAGACAAGAAACACGATGACTCTTTGAAGAAGTATATGGCACAAGCCTTTCCCCCTCTCTCTCTCCCTCTCTCTATGCCCCATGAAATAATAAAAACAGCCAATCTCTCATTATTCGTTAATCTCACTACGTCTCGTTGGTGTTTTGTGCGTGTACTGCTGAACCAATAGAGTGAAAGTGATAAAGAAGGGTGCGAACTTTTTAATCAGCGTGTAGTTTGACAGATATTGTGTGGATATAACAGCATCCATGGTCACTTGTGATGTAGTTATTTACAAAAAGCGTGCTATTCACAGATATGTAAATGATAAACGATTACATAAGTAGATATCTTACAAATACAAGATATGTTACAATTTCTAATTATTTCAGATATTATTTATCTGATGAGATGTAAATGATAAACGATTACGTAAGTAGATATGTTACAAATACAAGATATGTTACAATTTCTAATTATTTCGGATATTATTTTGTAATTGTTATTCAAATATTATTTTATAATTGTTTTAGACATTGTTTAGGATATTATCTGTATCGATAATAATCTACAATCACATTCCATATAAATATATAATAAAATTTTATCCTTTTAGTCATCGCTTCTTGGTTTTAAGCAAGGATTAATAAAACGTTAGCTGACGACTAAAATATACAAACACAGGTGAATTTGCATCTAAATTGTAATTGTAACTCTCATGAAATGTACACCACTTAAACACACAAATGTGTAAATAATCAAGCATCTATATACAACGAAATATTTGTACAGTAAATATTTAACAATATTGAAGCTGATATGTACAGTATGGGACATATGGGCACTCAATCATCTGGTGTGTTTTATGGAATAAGCAATCTGTCTACGTAAAAAATATTTTTACCTGCTATGCAATGTTGCAAAAAATATTCTATTATACTATATAAATACTATTCTGATAATTTGTTGATCAATGACTCCAGCGATCCGGCTGTTCAAAAAGGAACGTATACGTTCAAATACGTCAGAGTAAAACAAGATTTACGTCAGTACCGAGCTATCGACGTATATGATAATAATTAAGTGTTTATCGGAGAAAACGGAATAAACGCGAGAGGAGGCAAAGAGCTCTTGCACGATTCTCTCCTTTCTTTCATCTCAAGCGAATCGTCGAAACGAATGAAAAATCCACCCGCGGTTCAAATATAGCACTGTTATCACTAACGATTACGATTGACTTTTCAGTTATCTCGTTGAATTCGATAAAGCCTAGCACTGTGTTCGGTTTCACCGCGACTTTTCCATGATGACGGACGAGGGAAGAGCGCGCGAGAAACGCATGCACTCGCGCGAGCAACGGGACGAGACTACCAGACAACGAGCCGGCGGCGGCTTTAGAAAAGCAGGAGGCTACCTGCTGCGAAGCCGCGGTATACAGGGCGGTTCGAGAGAAAAAAGAGATGTTCATTGACAAACTTCTCCGGTCTACGGGATGGTAGCTTGACCAATCCAGCGGCGACGTAAATTTAGACACTTGGCTGTTTAGATATTTAGTGCTCCAGTGGAGAGAAGCATTACAGTTTCGGGAGGACTACGGAAACTGAGAATAGATCTACGGACGATCGGACAACGAGCGAGCAACAGAAATTTCAAGTTGCACCAGGTGTTACTTATTTGTATACGGTCGAAAGATTTATCTCAAAAAGCTATTAATCCATAGTACGGCCGGAAAAGACGGTGGGAAGGATAGGAAAAGTCTCTCGCTGGTTCTCTCGCCAGCTCGATCCATCCTCGAACTTATCGTATTATCGAGGCTACAAAAAAGAAAAAATAAATTATTGAAAAATTGAGATAATGCAATTATATTATATTTTACCGTTATCCGCATATACTTTTATCCCACCCTATAAGCGATGGTGCTTAACCAGGAGGTATACAACGAAACGCTACGCTACGCAAAAACCGGTTTGTCCTCGCGTCGCCCGTATCTCCCATCACACTCATTGGGGGAATCATTAACATTTGTTTTACGGGAAATCGAAGATAGCGATGGCTCGAGAGGCGCCGACTTTCCTCGTTGAAAGGACTTTCTTGATCTCGCTTTCCGCGAATTAACGCGAAACGAATACCAAGGATTAAATTGTAACAGGAAGCGTATATAGTATACACAGTTCTTGCATCATTACTAATCACAGAGATATTGGAGTCACGCGTGCAGAAAAAAAAAAGCATGATTCATACGTACACCTATTTACGATGTGCTCCATATTAATGGGTGGAATAGATAGTGATAACGTATATTTCACAGATAGTGATAACGCACGTACATGTGCGTTTAGTTATAATCCAGTTATAGAGTAATCAATCCTTATGGAGCCATGTTGTGAATCTGTGATTGTTATTTTCATGAATATTAAAAAAAAAAGAAATTTATTATAAATGTCTCCTTCTTTCATGGATTAAGTTTTGTTAGAGAGAGAAAATCGGAAACTCTCTTATATCTAGAAGATCTATAATTTTTATTTATCCAGAGTAATTATATTATACTTATTATTTTTATTTATTCAATATTTATTTCTTATTTTAATTTTTTTTCTCTGCGATTGTTCTATCGAACAATCGCAGAGAACAATGCATTATGAATTATCAATCCAACTAGTGATTAAGCGCACAACTTCGCGACTATAAGTATAAGTTCATGATTAATCTTCTTCAGTCATCAACCGATAATTTTATTCGTGATAGACTATTTTTAAAAGAAGAAAGATGCGTGAGCATAAATTAAAATCTAAATATAAAAAATTAAAATATGAATATAAGAGATTTTAATGATGTCTCATTTGTGTAGAAAAAACTTTTACCTAAATATATGGGATATTAATATCAAATAAATCATATTCTCGTCTCGCTTGAAATAATTCAACAATTTTTAAAAGGAACTGTAGACTCGCAACGTTAGTTATTAGAAACTAGAAATACCAGAGTGCTGCATGCAGAGTAATAATCGTTACATTATGGTAATTATCTAATTATTTAATTAACGTATAACGTCATCCGCTCTGTCCGGATTCGTGTAGATGATCTCTCGAGATAATATTCCCAAGATTATCATTCTGCATAGAAAATAAAGTGTAAGGAAAATAAGCGCAAAACGAGGTAGATTTGTTTCGGACATTAAAATATATTGCCTTGCTGCGAGAGGTCAATTATTTTACCGCACGTAAACGAGGCGCGGTTATTAAATCTCTCCCACGTTACATACGGTATTAAAAGTAATAACGCCGCAAGATAATTATCTTTCAACCCTACCAAAATTGCATCAAGTTTCCGATCGCGATAACGAATCGAAATATATCCGCGGCTGAAATTGGGACGGTGTTGACCGTCGGCAATTAGCAGATACTTAAGAGGAGGCCGCTTACCTGTGGTGAAGCACAGCCCGCGTATCGGAGACATGTAAATGT